CTTAAGCGAACTTCTTAAATACAAGCTAAGAACTCTGCATAACTTCAGTTATTTACTTGTAACTGTTCCAGTGTTGCTGATGACCTTTTATCTCTAGCAATGTGGAATTAACCAGTCCTGAAAAACTCTGCACTCTGTATCCATTATCAGAAATTGTTCAGTTTTATCTAGTTCGCTGTTACTTATTGGAGGGTAGTTGGTCTGACACATGACATGCATCAAAGGAGATCTAATATAGTGTCACTCATGAATTTTCTTTGCGTGAAGGAATAGGTAACTAAAACATGTAGTAGAAACCCCAATTCATAAGCTTATGGGAGAACAGCCAAATGACTGACTCCTGCTTATATTATTGAACAAATGAAGCACTAGATTCTAGAAAAAAAAAATACAAGAATGCTTTGGTAGTTGACCTGCAAATCAAGGCAAACCCACTGTTTTTTGAGATTCTGAAAAAAGCGTTCATGGCAAGCATTCTGCTTCTAAAAGATTGAGGGCAGTAAGAAAGCTGTCGGTATCCATCTACTTCTGGTATCAGACATACAGAATGACCTCAGACCTCTGAGGTCAACTATGTTAAAAGCATATTGTTCCTAATAGCTATGTGTACTGTGCTTATTGTAATGAGTTTTATTACTGAAGTAGTCCATAAGCAGGACTAATGGATAGGGTTTACTGTAATCTATTAAACAGTTCTTTGAAGTCTTTTTGCCAAATTCTTTTTTCTCATATGTTTGAAAACTTGAAGGAATAGAAATGCAGTGACTGTTTCTGTAGCTCTGGTTCTGACAAGTCTAAAAGACTCTTCATTTTGCTTTCCAATGACAAAATGCCCAACCTATAAGACTTTAAGACCACTGTGTGGCCTCACTAAGCTGCTCTGGAAAAGTTATGTTAAAACATAGGAACCTTTGCACACTAAGCTATTTTTTCTCTGAACAAAATTGAAGTCTCAAGTGCCTCTTTGGAGGTCAGGGGAAGAGACAACATCTGCAGGTGTAAGCTGATAGCAAATGTTGCTCTTTAGTTGAATAAAAGCTGCAGAACTTGACGTGCTTTGTGCAATGTCTTGTTAGCATCTGAATAAACCTGTAATTAGTCAAATACCTGTGCATATACTTTTGCTGTGCTTGAAGTGTTTTAAGCCAGAACAGACAAACTTTGATCCTCTGAAGAATGAGCTAACATAACCTGATAGGGTTCAGTCATACCACGACTAAACCAAGTGCATAGATACTTATATTGTCCCTAATATTCCATGTGCAGTTTGAGTGCTATATGTAATCAGCTTAATTCTTAGCTAAATTATTTTCACTATTAGTGTATATATAACCATCTTGGATTCCTTGGAAGAAGTGTACATTCTAGATAATGTATCTGGAACTTTCAGATTGCAGTACATTATTTGAACTGTTGACAGTATCAAAATTCTAGTTTCAGTTAAGCGAACTTTTAATCTGTAAAGTTTTTGCTTATCACATATACTACTACTAGAAAATTAAAGGGTGTTCTTCTTTTTAATCATGACTTAAGGAGGTCTTTCCACTTCCCAAACTGACTTCTCATATTCCTAATATAATGAGACTACCTCAAATATAAGCTTACTATGGCTTATACTGGAACTAAAACATGTAAACTGAGTAGTTATAATATGCAAGTTAAACTCTGTTCTCCATTAGTTAGTCTCTCAGCAGCTGAGACAATCTTTAAGTTTTTTTGGGTGGGATAAGACATTATCACAGCATTTTGTGGTTTGCAGTCTGCTTGGTGCTGGAACAGTCCAGGTGTCTACCCAGCAGGTTTAAAAAAATAGAAATGCAATGGGTTTGCAATTGGACTTGAATCTAAAACAAAAAACAACTTGGAATCTGATCAGTAAAATAGACATTACCAAATACACACAGCTTTAAATCTTGTTGTAATTTTTTTAGAATTGTGAGTTATAGGAATTCAAGTGTATATGTGTGTGGGAGGGAGGAGATGATGCCAAAGAACTGGGATGGGATGTGGAATTTCTTTCCTTTGTTTTATTTGGAAGGGAAATTGGAGAAATCTGTGGGAATAATAGAGTACAAATAATCAGGCCTAGAATAAATGGGAATTCCCCCTCTACACTCCTAGCTATTAGGAGTATGGCTTTATTTTCAGACATTAAAGTATATAAATCACATGAACTGAATATTTTGGGATTTATGAGCATATAAATTCTGCATTACTTATTTGCATGTCTACTGTTTTTAAACTACTTTACTAAAAGCCTGTTAACTTTTACCTTTCAGAACAGGCATGCTACATAACTTAACAGCACCATGCAATGCTAACTGCAAATGTTTGCGCTCCATGTATTACCCAGTCTGTGGCAGAGATGAAGTCCAGTATTTTTCTCCCTGTTTTGCAGGATGCACATCACATCTTCTTAACAACAAGAAAAAGGTATTTTATGGTATGCTTTTCCCTGAGGGTAGATGACACTGTTTCAAATCCATACAATATGAATGGAAATGCATGGAAAATTTTTTTTCTTAGACAACAAATCACAGTATTTCTTAGTCTGCATGGTAGTTACTACAGGAAAAACTTATTATGAACTTTGAAGCAGACATCTGTCAGTAGGATGAATGTTGGTATATCTTTCAGCTATGCAGTGTCTTGTTGCAAGTGTATTTCTACTAAACTCTAATGCTGAAAATACATAAACTTGGATTTACTTTAAATAGAATTGACTGTCAGAGAAGTAGAAATGAGCAACCGCCTTGACATTGAACTGCAGTTCCTGCCTAGATCTTCAAACATAATGTAACATTTGCTTTATGTGTGGCAACCTGTTCCTATGTGAGTTTGTAAGCCTTGAATACCAGTTGTCTTTGATATTGGCCTGGCAAGCCATGAAGGTGGCTGGTTATTATCCAGATTCCCCAGAACTGAAACCCCCTCTTCTGTACCTATTACTACTAGCACAAGGAACTCTTGAGTAAAGATGTGGAAAGAATGAAGGGAAGAAAAGTCCTAAAGGCAGACAAACTGAACTTGGATACCTGGAGACCTCATATCAAAAAGGGAAAAGTAAATGAGAGGAGGTATTCTTGTGTTCAAGTAGGATTTCCTGTGCCTGTCTATGCCCACTGCCTCTCATCCTGTCAGTGGCCACCACTGAGTCTGGCCCCATCCTCTTTACAGCCTCCCAGCAGATATTTATAAACAATAATAAGATTATATAAACCACAGTAAGTGGTATTATCCAGAACATGTGAGAGACTGGCTGCTCCCTGCTGTGGAAAAATTTCACTGATTGGAAAAATTTCATTGATTTCTTCTTTCATAACAAACATGAATGGATTTAAAGAGGTTAAAACTGTTCCATTTGTTCACCTTGATTAGAAAAGATTCTAGTAGTCTGGAACTGTTAGAGCTTATTTTCATACTGCTGTATAAGTATTACAACATATTAATTACCGATTACAATTAGTTAGCAATAGTCCTTCATTCAATCACTGAAGAAGTGAGCATGGGAGGGAATGATTTAAATTTGTATGCCTGCTTCCTGTGAACAGACAGACATGATCTTTATCCCTCACGTTTGGATTAAAGCTTATGTGGCAGGTGAAATGCTTGTGTATGGTGTTGGTTAAGGAACTTAAGCTAACCTGTCTGTGTTTAGGTGAAAGGGATGTATTTTGGGATGGGGAGATGTAGCTCAAGTCTGGTCACTAGTTTCTCCATTTGTCTAGAGAAGTTCTACTCTTTTCTGTCTTAGCCCCCCCCACCCCCAAAACAACCGTTGTTGACTTCATGCAAGAGCAAAAGGGAATCTGGCTTCTAGCTGTGGTCTTTCCCTGCCTCTTTATCTGAACCCTAATTTATCTGATGTGCAACCCTTTTTCTGCAACTTCCTCTGAAACAGTCCTTAGCCCCTTGCAAGTTCAGCTATCTGTTCCAAGGACTAGCTCAGATATCGCACAGCTGGAAACAACTAAGTTGTGAGACAATAGAGCCATGCAGGATTAAAGCAAGGTGACAGTTGTTGAGATGGGGATTGTTAATACTGCAATTCAAGAGGTAAAGTACCAACATGGAAAGGTGTAAAGTCATCAAGGACAAAACTGAATGACGGGAAGACAGCAACTCAGCAGCATCAAGGCAGTAGTGAAGGCTTATGCTTTGCTTCCTGACTTAAGATGGCTTGGTTGTCAAACTTTTTAGCTGTCTCTGGTAGCTTGCAAAATCCTAGCAGTTGAAAGCTTTTATGCTTAGTTGAAAGTGTGAAGCAAGTATTAAGTTGTATGCGCATCCTTTTTACATGGCTAAAGATACCTAACAAAGTCAGTGAGGGTTACAAAGGAGAATTATTTAAGAGTTGTATCACGTGGAAAGTTAAGAATGTGTTTCTGTGAGTGCTTGAGTTTATTAAAGGCTTCAATACAGATAATGGCAGGTAACATTTCTTTTTAAGCAGGACTTCAGAACTCTCCTTAGAAGAAAAGGAAAAGACCATACAGGGAAAGA